GATGCGTCGGCTTGGGCTTGAAGAAGGCCGCGCAGGGCGACCATGAGCTTCTTCTTGTGTCCGATCTTGGTGACGCCCAGGGTGGTGTAGAGCGCGTTGGCGTGGTGGAGGGCGACGAGCCGCGCGCCGTCGACCTTGGCCCGACGCAGCGCCCCGACGTACTCGTCCAGCTGCAGCTGCCGCTTGAAGTAGGCCCGCACCTGCTTGCGCGTCCACTCGCTCACGGCGGGCCACTCGGCCGCCACTTCTTCATGATGATGAGCGAGAAGAGCTCGTTCCGCCTTTCTTCCCGTCGCGGCGGCAGATCTGGCTCGACGGAGCGAGTTGAACGTCGCGGAGAAGAGCTCGTTGATGCTCATCTCTGTCTCTCTTCTCAAACTCCTCCTCTCTCTCGACTCGATCGAGATGTAAAGATGAAGAAAAGAAAGAGATTTGAGAGGGGGGGCGGAGCGGCGAGTGGTGAAAGTTGATGGACCTGAGGAGAAGTGTGGGTTTGATGTGGCGTGGTGGTCAGGCCCACAAGGGAAAGGTTGGTGGTTGCAGCAAAGGCGAGCTGGGTCAAGTTGGCGTGGAGGTCCTTTCCGTACCTCACGTGACGCGCTTCTTCGTTCTTTCCGACCCACCGTCGGTTCAACGTCGCTTTCGTTCTTTCCTCTTGGTGCCGCGGGCCTTTAGTTCACCACCACCGGGTGGTCTCTCTCTCTTGCGTAGCGCTGTGCTCGTGGTGCGAGTCGCCTGCCGAAAGTGTTCTAGCTTGCCTCGAGGAGAGAGTGGAAGTTAACCTGTCGTCCTCGTCGGGGGTGGTCAACGCCTCAACCTCTGTCCGCCACCGGCCACTCCTCTCTTTGAAATGGTCTGAGTGGCCAGCTCCAGTTTTCAACGCCAGCACAGTGGGACAGGAGTCACGCGAAAACGTTCGTGTTCGAAGAAGGGGCACGCGGAGTGGTAGCGCAACAAGTCCCCAGATGAGGCTGACCTCCGGTTACAGTGGCCAGCTGCGTAAGTGACTTTTCACTCAGACTTCCGCCACCCTTCCAAGGTAAACGCCAATTGAATATTTAAAGGGAATGTGTCGACGTTTTCACCTTAAGGTGGCCGCGGTGCCCCAAAAGAGAAGAAAAAAAACCGGTCGTTTATTTACACTAGCAAGATGGGCACGTCTTCGTCGTAGTTGCTGAGGTGGTGGCCCTCGTCTTCGTCGTCGTCGAGGTAGAGGCAGAGCCGCCAGCTCGGTGCGAGCATGCCCGGCGGGGTGGCCTGCACACGCTGTCGCCAGTCGCGGAAGGCGTAGCGCAGCGCGTCGTCGCCGAGGATTGTGACCTCGTCAGCCTCGCCGTCCGTGTACCGGATCTTCATCTTCTTCGTGGCCACCGAGCCATGCACGCGCGCCACCTCCTCGACTAGGTCCGCGAACCGCAGCTGCCGGGATCCACTCCCCACGTCAAGCCGCAGCAGCGACACGTCGACCTCGTCGTAGGCGACCACCGACTTGTTGTCGGTCGCGCGACGACGCAGGGCGGCCTTGACGGTGACGACAGAGTTTCGGTGGAGAAAGGCGGAGGCCTCGGACAGGTTGGTGACGTCGTCGAGCCGCTGGGCCAGGTCGGCGGCGTCGGACAGCGAGCGCAGGCGGACGGGCGTGGACGGCGGCGACGACTGGGGCGTGTGGTACGAAGACGGCGTGGACTCGCCCGAGGCGCAGGGCGTGCCAAAGCTCGAGCCTGAGCCCGAGCGCACCCGGCGGGAAGGCACGACCGGCGACCAGGTC